TTTTCAATTTCCTTGTTCTTAGATGCCAGTTCCTTATTGAGCTTCTCAATTTCCACTTCATTGTGGTAAAGCTTAAAGAGCTGTAGCTGCACCTGAGCTCGCACCACCTCATCCTTCAGGCGCTGGTAGCGGTCAGCCTGTGCAAATAGGGGCAGGGGTATATCAGTAAGCCACTGGTTCCATCCTGACCCATCAGAGCCAACAGACAGTCTGGCCACCTACCTCCTCCTTCTCCTGCTTGGCCTCCTTACGTTCTGCTGCAATGTTTTTCTTACGATGATAATTAAACTGAGTATCCTCTTCAGCCTTCACCATTTCCTTCTTTCGCTTGTCATACTCCTGGGCCAGCTCCCCAGAGCGACTGATCTCTTCAAATAGAGCTGTCCTCTCTTTGGGGTTCTTCATGGCAATAGATTCCACAGCACCCTAGTAAAGATAAAATACTCTCCCCACTTATAACTGTAACCAGTCCAGTTTCCTCTACCCATTCATTCACTCAGAAAAAGTTTGCTGACGTCCCCTATTGTGTGCCACATTTCATATTGGGCTTTGAGAACACATTCCTTGCTCTTTGAGCACAGGGAGCAAAAAAGAAACGAAAACAACACATTAAGTTATGTGCACTGACAGGAGCACAGAAAAAGGGACTAAATGAAGCTTGTGGGTAAGAGGGTGGAAATGTCAACTTAGGAAGGCTTTTTCAAGATGGCATCTAAGTTGAATTTGGAAGATAGGGAAGAACTAACTAAATCAGTGACAGAGAAAAGGTTATTCCATGTAAAAGAGAAAATATGTATAGGCCTGGGGGCCAAAGAAAGCAGGTGAATTTGAGGAACCATAAATGGTTTAATCAGAGTGGAATGCAGTGCTGGAGAAGAGTATTGGCACATGAGGCTAATGGAACGAAGTGGGCAAGAATCAAATAATGGTGTTTTCCAAATGATAGGCTTGGGAGTTTGGATATTATCCTGAGGCAATAGTTCTCAAACGTTGTGTCATAATAATTTGGAGAGCTTGATAAAATACAAATTGCTGTGCTCCTTTAAAAAAATCACCTATATGACCAGATGGTCAACAATTACTTGAAAACAAAGATGAGACTGTAAGGAGGCAGGGAAACTAGATTAATAGAAACAGAACAGAAATGATGAGAATCTTCACACATTATGAAGAATATAACCAATGTCACTGAACAATTTCTGTATAAATTGTTGAATGGGAACCTAAACTGTTATGTAAACTTCCACCAAAAATACCATAAAATATTATTTAAAACACACACACACATACACACACAAATTGTATGCCCCAACCCAAAGTCTACGAGTCTAAATGTCTATGATGGGACCTGAGAATACGTATTTCTAACATATTCCCAGGTGATGTTGATGCTGCTGGTCCAGAGACACTAGTTTGAGAACGATTATCATAAGGCAAACCAAAAAAAACCCCAAAATCACCACCACTGAGTTGATTCCAACCCACAGCAACCCACATTGGGTTTCCAAGCCTGTAAATCTTTACAGAAGCAGACTGCCTCATCTTTCTGCCACAGAACAGCTGGTAGGTTCAAACCACTGACCCTTGGTTAGCAGGGTCAAATGCCTTAACCCTATACTACCAGAGCTCCTATCATAAGGTAAGGAGGAATTACTGAAATGTTTTAAGGAGAAAAGGGAGAGAGACAAGTTTCTGTCTTCAAAAGATAAACCTGGCCTAGGGAATGAACTTCAAGGGGCCAGACTGGAGTCAGGAAGCCCACAGAGGAAGCTGGCACACTAGTTCAAGGGAGAAATGATAAAGCCTGAGATGGAGTAGACCCAGTGGGGACAGGACCAAACCAAACCAAACCTACTACTGTCAAGGTGATTCTGACTCATAGTGACCCTATAGGGCAGAGCAGAACTGCCCCCAAAGGGTTTCCAAGCCTGTAATCTTTACAGAAGCAGACTGCCACATCTTTTTCCCACAGAGCAGCTGGTGACTTTCAACCACTAACCTTTCAGTTAGCAGTCAACTGCTTTAACCACTATGCCACCAGAGCTCCTCGGGGAAAGGATTAAAAAAACAAAAACAAAACACTGCCGTCAAGTCAGACCTGGCTCATAGCGACCCCTCTTTGGGTTTCTAAGGTGGTATCTCTACAGAAGTAGATGGCCCAACCTTCCTTCTGAGGAGTGGCTGGTGGGTTTGAACCACCAGCCTTCTGGTTAGCAGTCAAATGCCTTAGGTACTAGCCACCAGAGCTCCCTAGGGAAAGGAAAGGGGCTGGTAAAAAGCAGATATCCAATAACTTTTAAAAATGCTAACCTGGCCCCCAAAACTATTGCCCTGAGAACAGCTTTAAACCTTAAACCAAAAATATTCCCTGAAGTCTTAAAACTAAATAATAGTTTAGCTTAACTAGTAAAGAAAGTCTGCATTGAGCATTATGCTCTTTCAAGAGCTCTCTAAACAGATAATGTTTCTACAAGTGTATCTGTATATATGTTCTATAAGAATTTCCAGGTATATAGTAGAACTAACAAGGGAAAAGGTTGTAGTCACTTCTTGGCCACAGCCAGCTACCTGAAGGGAACAAGCAGCTGGACCTGTGGGACCTAGGGACATCAAGCTCAACTGGCATAACATACTACACAAAATCATTGTTCCACATCCTACTTTGGCAAGTAGCGACTGGGATCTTAAAAGCTTTCAAGTGGCCATCTAGATGCAACAATGGGTCTCTCCTCATCCAGAGCAAAGAAGAATGAATAAAAGCAAAGATTGATGAAACATTGAAACAATTAGTCCAAGGGACTAGTAGAGCATGTGATCCTCAGCTTATACAACTATGAAACCAGAAGAACTATATGGTGCCTGGCTACCACTGTCAACCACTGAGAGGGGGATCTATGTAGGAGATCCTGGACAGAGTGGGAGAACAATGTGGAACAAAACTCAAAATCATTAAAAAAAAAAAAAGGACCAAGTTTGCTGATCTGATAGAGCCTGGTGGAACCCCTGAGACGATGGCCCCTAGTTGCCCCTCAGGTCTGGAATTGAACCCATACCTGTGGCTTCCAGCCAAACAAAAGACAGGCATATTAGCTGAACATTTACATTAGGTAGATACACTCCTTGGAGAGATCAGTCACGGGAGAATAGAAGGGCTGTGTATGCACAGGGAGACAGCTCAGGGGGCAAGAGTGCATAGGAGGGAAGGACACAGGAAAGAGGTGACTAAGTGGAAGAAGTAGGAAAAGAGTTGTTGCATTGTGGGAAATTGCAGTCAATATCATGAGACAAAGTGTGTGTGAACTGCTGTATGGAAAATGAATTTGCTCTGTAAATTTTTACCCAAATCACAATAAAAATTTGAAAAAAAAAAGCTATCTATATGGGATCACTGATAGAGCCTGGTGAAACCCCCACAAGACTACAGCCCCTAGTTACCCTTCAGGTGTGGAAGTGAATTCACTCCCGTGGCTTCCAGCCAAATAGACAGGTATACAGAGTGAACATTTATACCAGGTGGATATACTCTTTAAAACAATCAATCATGGGAGATAAGAAGGGTAGCATCTGCACAGGGAGATAGCTCAGGGGCAGGAATGTACAGGATAGAAGGACACAGGGAAGAGGTAACTACAGGGAGGAAGTGGGAAGAGAGCTGTTACATTGTGGAGATTGCAGTCAATGTCATGAAACAAAATGTGTATGAACTGCTATATGGAAAATGAAGTTTCTCTGTAAACTTTCACCCAAATCAGTAAGAATTTTTTTAAAAATCTATCTATATGGGATCAAACTGGCAATATCAACTTGAAAGATTAGATGGGAACCTTAGGAGACAGTGAGTATATATATGTCAATGGAGGAAGAAGAACTTAGAAACGGAAGGTGAGAATGGGTACACAGCTTGAAGAATGTAATCAATGTCACTGAAATGTACATGTAGACACCTGCATGTTTTGCTGTGTATATTCTCAACAACAAGAAGATAAAATAAATTATTTTAAAAAATACCCACCTGAAAGACGAGGAAGTTACGAGCTTTTATAAGAATGCCCAACTTCTCTAATTCTTCACTGTATTCATGTAGCTGGACCACTTTGTTGTTGATCTTGTACTCAGAAGAACCCCCTGCAAAATAATGTATTAGCCAACTGAAGGTCAGGCCTCCCTCCTACTCCAGCCAACTAGTCTAGCCACCTCCCAAGATCAAAAGAGAGCATTCTGGCTAGCCTCACCCACCAACAATGACACGGGCAAAGGTCCGGTCCTCAGCACCTTCCTCAGAGTAGACCATGCTAACAAAAGCCCGATTAGCAGCTGGTTTGCCTACAGGAGCTCCATGGATCAGGTCTCGCAGAGTCTTTACCCGCAGGTTACTGGTCTTTTCACCCAACACAAAACTGATGGCATCCATGAGGTTTGACTTACCTAAGGGAGGTAAGAGGAAAGTAAGTCAGGAAGGAGGGAAGGTGAGAGGAAAAGGAATAAAGGAGACATTGAGAGAAACAGGAATGTTTCCTAATCACTCAGTTCTCAGACTAATGGGAGGCAAGAGTATTCCTTTTCCCCCATAAAGACTTGGCCCTGGGTCAAAAACTTAAAAGAAAGAAGTCCCCTTGGCAGGCAGGAGGTAAGGAGTTGTCTATGCTTAGGAGACACAGAGCTTCTGTTAAGGGTGATGGAGAAATTTGGGAATGAATAGTGGTGATGGTTAAACAACATGATGAACATAATTAATGTTCAGCAAACAACTAAACAAAAAACAAATCACAGTTCCCTCGCAGTTATTATTTATAGCTGCCAAAAAGCAGAGTTGCAATGAAACGGGAAAATGCCTGTAGTAGGTGAAACAAGCAAGATACAAAATTCAATATATAGTTTGACCTTCACCATGTTTTAAAAATAAGGCAGATTCCTATTGTGATGCAGTATGACATACACAGCATTATCTATGAAACACCTTGCCAAAAATATTTAACCTCAATCTAAACAAGACTTCAGACCTACCTTTCAATTTATAGGAAGTACAGCAGATAGAGCAACATGATAAAAACACCATGAGGAAACATTCAAACATGGAATGTGAGCTGTTGTACAAGACAACTGGTCTGGTCTTTAAAAGAAAAATCAGTGTCTAAAAAGAAAGGTCAAGGGAACCATTCCAGAACAGAAGAGATTACTGAAATAAAACCAAATGCAGTGCATGAACTTTGATTGGTTTCTGGCTCCAAAATAAAAAGATATTTTGGGGAGCAATTAGGGAAGCTTGACTATAAATTAGATAATCAACTACAAGAAGAATTTAATTTTCTTAGGTGTGAAAATGGTATGCTGGTAATACAGGAGAATGATGCTTTTAGGAGATGAATGCTGAAGTAGTTAGATCTACAATTTTCATTCTAATGATTAAGCAAAATAGACATGTATGATTGAAAATTTTTTATTATAAAAACCTGGAGAGAAAGGAAGACATAAGGAAACATATATGAAAATGTAAGCAGTATAACACTGGTTGCTTCCAGGAAGGAAACCAGGTAGCTGAGGTCAGGGAACAGAGGGAAGGAGTCATTGCTTTTTACTGTTTATCCTCTGGGATTTTAAAAATGGTATACCATGTGCATGTATTAGCCATACAAATAAATAAATAAGATTTTTAATATTAAGACTGGCTATCAGTTCAAATGCACCCAGTGGTGCTGCAGAAGAAAGGCCTGACAATCTGTTTCTGTAAAGAGTGTTGTTGCTGGGTGCCACTGAGTCAATTCTACCTCACAGTGACCCCATGTGACAGAGTAGAGCTGTCCCATAGGATTTTCTTGGTTGGTATCTTTACAGTAGCAGATTAGTAGGTCTTCCTCCCACAGAGCTGCTGGGTGCATTCAAACCACCACCGTTTCAGTTAGCATTACAGCCAAGAAAACCCTATGGAACACAGTTCTACTCTGTAACACACAGAGCTGCCATGAGATGGAGTTGACTCAATGTCAACAGGTTTGGTTGTTTTATCTTCTCAGTACTGAAGTTAGTTTTTACTTTCTCTGTATTTTAATAAGAAAAAAAACACATTTAAAAAAAGTTTAGTCTGGGGGAAGGGGGCAGTTTAATCTCTACAAATCCTATTTCATCATACTCCCCAAACAGGTTATATCATTTGAACTGAGGACCTGATTTCCAACATCTTTATAACTAAACCAAACCTGTTGCTGGAGTCGATTCCAACTCAAAGTTTCCCTGTAAGATAGAGTGAAACGGCCCTGTAGGGTTTCCAAGGTATAAATCTTTACAGAAGCATACTGCCTCATCATTCTCCTATGGAGTGGGTTCAAAGAGCTGACCTTTTGGTTGGCAAAGGAGTGCTCAACCACTGTGCTACCAGGGCTCCAAATGACTTTATACCCAGCCATAAAAATGGCACCCCAGGTTCTTCCATGGAAGCAATAAAGGACAAGGATTAAGAATTGGGGCTCTCCTAAAAGACTTAAAAGGAGCTCTGGTAGCATAGTGCCTAAGGCACTTGACTGCTAACCAGAAGGCTGGCGGTTCAAACCC